AAATATTTTCTGGCTTTAAATAACCTGCAAAGTTTGATAAGCTATAGAAAATGAATGAATCAATCATAACTTGAAGAGAAGAATAATGACATGTTCTACACAACCTCAAACAAAAAGCAAGGAAAGAAACCCCCATCAATACTGGAACTTTATAAATTTCAACTGACAGTAGCACTAGCTGCTTGGTCAATGAATGCCAAATGTTTCCTTATAAGGAAACAGCTAATATTACCATTAACATTGTGATGTATATGAGAGGTTGCTGAAAAGTTCTCAGCCTGACTCACTTCTCAAAATCTGACTAAATGACAAACATTAACCACCTGCTTTTTTAAGTACTTTCTTGGCCTGGTTAAGAACTTTACAGTACCCCATTGTAGTTTGTTTTTTAACAAGTTCACCCCAAGTAAAGCCACTAAGACACAAGGGGTTACTGGGTGTGGAAGAATGAGAAAACACCTCATTTCTTTCTTTCTTTTGTTGTTGTTGTTGTTTAAAAATGGAAGAAAATGGTACTTGTGGTTATAGTGATATTGAGTTTGTTTTGTATTTTTTTATTTAACTCCAGTTGTCTCTGGTGGCTCTGTCTATAAGCCTATCACATCTATAGACTTTCATGTCTCATTCTGTGATGTATTTTGGTTGATTTCAATACATGCTCAAATTTCTAATTCCTCTGGTTTCATTGCGAGTCTCTTCAGGATTTCTTATTTTTACTAATGTACACTTCAAAAGGCTCAAGAGCCACTCAAGGTAGAGGCTCACTAAAAGAGCTTGTTGTATGAGTGGTAGGATGTGTAGTTTATGAGGATATATAGGAAAGATTATATATATTTTTACCTATTTGCAAATTTTCACATCTTTTAGGCATGGCAGATTTGAAGCCTTCTTTTAAGAAGCTTTGGTATTTTATATATATATATATATATATATATGTATGTATGAGAGAGAGTTTAAGATTGTAGTGGTTAGGAAAAGCATCCTCTCAGGAGCAGTTTGGTAGAAGAATCTGTTTCATTGGAACTTCCTTCCTGATAATAGAAAACAAAAGGAATGATAGTAATTTGGCCCAGTATATGTGGCATGGCAGGTTGTAGCCATGGAGGTTAGAATTGGCATAACTAAGGACTGTAGCCCATTAGATGTGGAAATGTGATGTTTATCTGTGAGAAAGGGTTTGTAGGGTTGAAAATAATTAATCACCCACCAGTTCACATACAACTTTTTGAACTCTATCAAGAATGGAATGTGAAGACCATTCAGTTGCAGCACCGAATGTGGCAGCAGTACTCAATTTTTGGTTTGTAGCTGACTCTTTTAAAGATAAAGCCTATCAGAGGTCAGGTAGTTATTGGTGCAGAACAATGGACTCAACATTTTTTCAGAATTTAGTGATTACTTCAAGTGCACAGATAATCAGAGATAGAATCATTACCTTTTATATTCCATATACTTGAAGTTTTCTATCAATGTCCAGATATTGTTTTTCTAACTTTCACTTTCAGGTCAGCTGAAGCATCAACAGTAACAGTGCCTAATATGTCAAAACTGAAAGTGGATAATTTTGGTATGAAGAGAATATACTCCTAACACTAATAATATGGAAATCCTTTTCCAGATATTTATTAAGCTGATATGCAACCAAATAAGAGGAAATTCTTTTTTTTTTTTTTTTTTTTTAATGTTTACCCGATACAAGGTTGTATGGACTTACAAGGAGGAAATAAGCGCAGATTATGAGGATATGTAGCATAGACAATTGTTGACCCTAGACTTGAAAAGATTGTAGTGATCATTGGATAGGAAGATTATTTTGTGCTAACAGATATTTTTTATCTAGTCTTTTGGTAAAAACTACATTTCAAAATTGAGTTTTAGTTTCTTCCTTCAATAGGATAACTTGTGGCTTGTTCATATATACTATATTTCTGCATGGTCAAATTGCAATCATTTGGACAATTCTAAATGAATCACTGTTCCTACTCATTCATGTCTACTTTTTTTTACTCTTTTTTTAAAACTAATTTGTGGCATTTATTTTACACACGTCTACACATATTTGTTTGTTTTTCAGGGAATTTTTATGTTTGTTAGCAATCTGAAATCATTCGGACATTTAGTCAATGCCGATCATTTTGACACCATACACAAACATAATGAACTTTGGCAACTCGTTGACAATCCCAGTGTAAGTATTGTTTTTTTGTTTTTTTCTCGTACTTCTTGATTCCAAATGTTTCAAGCTTCCATTAAATCCAATTAATGGAAAATATGCAACTAATAATACAAAGATAGCTTTACTTTCTTCATCCTATTAAACCAGATTCAATAAATCCAGTCTTTGAGATTAAAAGTTTGGTAACCATCTGCCAAAAAAAAAACACAAACAGTATTTTCATTGTTTCTGTACCAAATAAAAGATTTGATATTTTGGGCTTTGTTTTATTATTTATGTGGCATAATTGCTATGAAGGAGAGTACAATTCAAACTAAGTATTCAAATGAATGTTCCACATTCAGACAAAAATGAAGGATTTTATTTTGAAACTTCAAGTAGAAATCTTGAAATATCTTTTATTTTAAAAAACAGTTTATTATGAAAAAATGCTTGTTAAACTTTCCAACTATTTTATGTAATGTTAATTTTAACAAGGCTGAAAATTAAATTATTTATATTTAAACCATTTCTCTTTTTTTGTTTTAAGCCATTTCATTTGTCTATATTTCTGAGATGAGGTATTGTAACTATTTACACTAAATTCAAAAAGCTCCTAACCATTCTCACATCCAAACACGTATTGTTGAGAACTGTGGCAAATTGTTCTTTGTGTGTACGACCTGAACTGCTCCACAGCAGTGAGACTTGGGCACCAAGTGTGTCAGTCTTGTTTCAGCTCTGCTGCAATGACTGCTCAATGATTCACTGGATCTGAGGCACCAAAATCCCCTCATCTGAGTTTTTAATAAGGCTCTGTATAGAGGATATAACATCAGTGTTGTCTTAGATAATTTGGTCACATCCAACAAGTTTTGTTATGCATTAGGACTGTCTTGGAGTTCAGTGTTCCTGGTCACAAAGGTCAAGTTAGACCTAGGAAGACATGGAAGGACGGCATTGGGAGGGATGGATGAGAGTGCTGCCTTACCCACATTAGCCCACTTGACAGGGATGCTTGGAAAGAATGAGTGAGAGCTAGCTAGCTGACTGCTGCCTACCCCAGTCACTAGGAAACCCACAATAGTATAATCAAAGCTCAGGATCTTGACTTGATTGGGCCATGTGTCTTTGAGGACACATGACTCAGTGAACAAAAACTTGTAGAGTTTAGTTGATAGGAAATAGCTGAAACTGATATATCTGTAAAAGGTATGGCATGTGGAACTAGAACAATATACCCCTGTGGACAAAATAAAGGTTTTGGCTTGAAATTCTAATCACTTGAAGAAGGCCAGAGCATACAATGGCCAAAATGTTGTGAATATGACAACAAAGATGAAGACAACAGTTTGAACAATGTAAATGGTGTAAATAATTGTATTGTTTTCTTGTAGTCTGTCTACAAAGTGTTATTGTTTTTGGTGTTTTTAATGTTCACTGTTCGCAAAATAGAAATAAAATTAAAAAAAAATAAATACTGATGATGATAATAATATAATAAATATCTTTGAATATAAAACTATTATAAAATAATTTTTGGCCTCCCCCATGTGTGTGTGTGTGTGTGTGAGAGAGAGAGAGTGAGTGTGTGTGAGAGAGTGAGTGTGAGAGAGATAGATATAGATAGAGATAGATAGATAGATAGAGATACTGTGTTTGGGACACACCATGGAGGAGGAAGGTGAGATTTTATCTTGATCTCAAGTATTTGTTTTATGGCTAGTGGGTGTGTTGCACAAAATGTGGTATTGTATTCAAGTCACTAGTAGAACTGAAGTGTCACCTATGACACAAGCATAAAAATTGAGTGATGTTGCCATATCTTCATACATCAAAAGCAAAGAAAGAGTCCATCACACACACAGTAAAAAAAAAAAAAAAAATCTCTATATATATTTTCTCAATAATAATAATAATGGTTTTATTTTTTATTTCAGGATTGGGAAGCACGTTACATTCATGTCAACTACACCAATACCCTCAAAGAAAGTACAGTTGCTTTGCAGGTAGGACTAATCAGTTTTGTCCAATCAAAACCTATACACCTTTTTCAATTTGATGATTATTATTCTTATATGTGCCAACATAGGCGATCATGGCTCTCCGAAATTCCCTGTCCTTTGTAGTTCTTAATAAATTTTGTCTTTTTTGCTATTTCTCCTAAACCTTGTTCTGCCACCCATTGAATCAAGCTCATTCCAATTTTTCTATGTACCATGTCTCATCAGGTCGTAGTCGATCATGGCTCTCCACAAGTCCCTGTCCTTTGTAGCTCTTAATAAATTTTTTCATCTCTCCTAAACCTTGTTACATCATCTATTCATTCAAACTCATTAGGTGAGTTTTGTGTTCCTTTCCTCTATCTTTTCTACCTTCAATCTGTCCTGTAAGTATCAAACTTTCCCAGCCGCCTTTCCTCCTCATGTGTCCCAAGAAACTTTAACTGTCTCTTCCTGAACTTAAGTGTGTCTTTTTTGTTTCCATTTTCTCTAAAAATTTGTCATTGCTCACATGTTCAGTCTATGGTATTCTCAGCATCCTTCTGTAGAACCACATTTATGTTGCTTAAAATCTCTTTTTCATCTGTGAGGAGATTGTCTAACATTCACTACTCGTATTTTATGAATTCTTTTTCCTTTTACTAATTTTAAAAATAAATTTAAATTTCTTCGATAAATTCTTTTCCTGGACAATCTAGTCAACCAGTGGTTTTGTTGAGTACCTGCCACCATTTTGAAAAATTTAGTCAATTATCTTGAAGCTACATACTCTGCAGTCCCCATCAACTTCAATTTTGTACCGTGCAGCATTCTTTGGTCAGTAGTTTCAACTATTTCATGGCTTATGGCCATATCATGGTGAAATACCAGTTCCCATACGATCAATGAAGTTAAGTAACATTGATCCTGATCAGTACCTAAATGGGTGACAGCTTTGGATGTGCAGGTGATGTAACGAATAAACAGCTCAGAATTGCTAATTGGAGAGCAGAGTTCCAATTCCTGTTAGGTTTGTTATATTCACTTACATGCAAATAACTTGGAAAGGTATGAATCCATCTCTTCTCTTCCCACTAATCTATTAATTAGTATCACTAAAACCATTATCTCCCCACAAAAAAATATGCAAATCCCTGTTGCAGACACCATCTCAGACACATTTGTGTTTCTTCAACACCCATATAGCCAAACTGTGTTTATACTGCAACAGTTTCTTGGAGAAAGTGCATAATCTGGTGTGATCATCAGGTTAAACAAGGCTGGTACATTCAAACCCTTGGTCACAATCACTTGTCTTTGTAGAGGCATAAAAAAATAGAGAAGCACATCTTTTAAAAACTACAAGCTGAGAAGAAGTTTTCAAGTCAGTTTTTTATGCCTTTACTACTATCAATAGTTTCCGAACAGTTTTGTTCACCCAATTTCACTCACAAGGCTCTAGTTGACCCATGGTATAGTTTTCAGAAATTTCCCACCCACACCCAGGCTGATATTATAAAGGAGTTGTATCCTTGATAAATTGACTATGGTGAAATTTGAACCCGCAGATCATAGTCAGAAGGCTAGCATTCTAACCACTTGGCCAGCATAATAAATTACCCACAATCCTTCGGGCTTTTGTACGACTTAAATGAGGTTTACCTGTTTTATTTCATGTTTGTGCTAATGATTTTCAAGAACCAAACACTAGAGTTTCAGATGTTTGTTGTTGTGTGTGTGTGTTTTTTTTTTTTTTTTTTTTGCAGCTGTCCACAGAATTTAGCCATAAATGTTTATTAATTCAAATTATTTTTGTTTTCCTACACATTTAACAAGTCCTCTTTCTTTTATTCTCTTCAGCCTTGTCCTGATGTTTATTGGTTCCCAGTTTTTACTGAACAATTTTGTGACGAACTTGTAGAAGAGATGGAGAACCATGGTCAGTGGTCCAATGGGAAAAATGAAGTAAGTAGTGAAAGGTTATTCATATTACAAGAGTGATTTTCTTGGGGGCCATTCGGATTACTAGCTTCATGTTTTTTTTGGTGGGGGGGGCAGCTTATGAACCAATAATGGATTGAAAAAAAAAAAATTTTTTTTTTTTTAGTGAGTGAATATTGCATGAATAATTTTTTTTTTCATAATTTTTTCCTCCAACTATTTAACCCATAGCTGAGGGCATGAGATGCTCTATGTCTTTCCCAAAGCTATTTGCACATATTTTAATGTAATGAACTTGACTGGAATCTGATTTCCTATTCCAAACCATGTTAAGTTTCTCAGACACAATATTTCTTTATAGATGCTGTTATTCTTAAAGGCTTGGATGTTTATTAGATGTGATTGCAATCACATTTTCAAGGGTCAGTCAGCATAAATATTGCTACCTTATGAAGCAAGATAGAATAAGAGTTGTTTTCTTTGTTTTTTTGTTTTTTTTTACTCTAACTGGAAAACTAAATTGCATTATTTTCAGTAGAGCATAAATAGTGAGAAAACCTCTGAAGATATTTTATCAATCACTTCCAAGTGGTTTAATGTTTAAAATTCTGTGTTAGTATTTTGTCATATTAAAAAAAAAAAAAAGAATTTAAATTTAAAATCTTCATTACTTGTTTAAAATGAGTTTTATTTTTATAAGAAAAATCGGCCAACAGAATATCTAATAAATGTAATATATACAGAAATGTGTGAAAATAAAATCTGAAAAATTTTAAAGGGTATGAAAATTTCAAAACCTGGATCTACCTGAAAGACACATATTTTTATTTTATTTTATTTTTTATAATCGTGTTCACCCCAAGCAAGGCAGTAAAGCCACTAAGGCACAAGGGGTTACTGGATGATGAAGAATTAGAAAACAGAAACATTATTAAGAAGCAGGAACAAAGCATATTCAGGAGAACAGTAGATAGCGATTTACATTGCATAAAATTTTTTGCAGATTAAAGTTGACTGGAAAGCATGGAGCTGGAAGAGTTTCCCAAGCAAGAAGTGCAAGAATTGAAATTGTTAGCATAGAATTTACGGTTACATTTAGCCAATCCAACTGTAAATTGATGAGACCACGTTGCCAGTCTAGTACTGCACCTAAATTCATAAAGTCATAGTGAAGAGCGATATTTATTTTGTAAAATTTACACTAATGTGACACAAGGCCAAAAGAGGGAATAGGGAAAGCATGTTTGTCTTCTATGTTATAATTAAACTTAAACTAGCCACAATCACAGACCCAAACATACTGCAATATTCCTTACACCAAAACAACATATTCTTACTACATCCACCATAATACCTCAGAATCTCCATGAAATCCTATCTAATCACCATCGGTACGATACTTGTCTGTTGGTGGAGGGGAATAAAACAATTTAAAAAATCTAAGCCCCAATAGTGAAGAGATCATCTGAGCAATTACCATGAAAATATATACAGAAAAGGCAGAGGGAGGTAACTTTATGGCATTGGGGGAAGTGACTGAACCTGAGATGTCAGAACCAATAATATTGCTGGTTCTTCTTTGGATTTTATCAAGGATCTCTAGATATATAATAAGAGCTCAAGACCATATGTGGCAGCAATATTCTAAGCATGGGTGAATGGAAAACTTAGTTATGTAAGATCAATTCTGGAGAGCAAAATTGTCTTGCATGACACAGTGAACCAATTTTGTTAGCAGCTGACTGAGCAATAGACTCAATATAATCTTTCCACTTCATGTTAGCTGAGAACATTAACCCAAGAAGGCACAACAACAAATTAGAGTTCAATTCTCCCACAAATTCTGAGATTAAAATAACCTAACTCTACTTTATAATAATTTTGTATGTACTCAGTCCCCCACGAGATCAGGTTGTGACACAAGGTTGGTTTAATGTGGGGAGCCCGAGCGTGTACACTTGGGCAAGGAACAAAAATTCCACAAGTCCCTGCAACTGTCGGTTGCACTGACCTTGATGTGTGCACCAATCATTCTCTCTAGTGCAATGAGAAGGTGCATCTTTCATTACTGTTCTTTTATTTGAGGATTGTTTTGATTTTCATATCAAAATAGTTCTGTTTAGGAATACTTTCTTATATAGAGTAGAAAAGTGTTTGAAATTTGCATTTTACTTGGCCTTCAACAAGTTAGCATCTGTTTGTAAAACTTTCCTTAACTATAACAAGCCTATGCCCACACCTTACTAATTAATTTCTTCCGTTTTTACAGTCATATTCGTTGAAAAAAAAAATTGAACGTCCACAACCCCTTCAACATTTCATCATGAAAATTAATCCCATAGAAAAACAACTCATTTTTCCGAGAAAAATTGCCAGATAGCAAGTAGGCAAAGCGTACTGGTTATAAATAAACTAAAATCCTTCAAATTCGCTTTCTGTGTCTGTATCATTTAAATAAGTCTTTGAATTCTCTTTTTTTTTTTTTTTTTTTTTACATTCTCTTTTACTTTTTACATTCTCTTTTACTTTTTTTAACTTATTTAACTAGAAGATGGGATAAAGAGATAGAGGTTAGTGTATTGTAATTTGGTCTCTAAGGAAGTCACATGATACACAAGATACATGATAAAATCATTTTTTATAAGTGATAATTTTGGGGTCAATGATACACGAGATTGCGTGTTACACAACTATATATAGTAATCACCTTGTTTGTCTAGCAGGCAAAGTGTAATTTTTGTGTTCTTTCTTTTTAGGATCCCCGTTTAGCTGGTGGCTATGAGAATGTCCCAACCGTTGATATCCACATGAGACAGATCAACTATGAAAAGGAATGGCTCTCTATCCTACACAAATATGTAACACCCCTGCAGAAAAAGGTCTTCATTGGCTATAATCATGAGGTATGTATATGTACAGGCTAAAATATTGTCCCTATTTTTAAGTAATATATACAGGGTCAGGGCATACTACTACCAAACCCCCAACAGGGAAACTGACTGGGAGGGGGCAGTGATTTGTGATCCTTCCTATCTTACCAACACTGCTTTTTTTCTACTTATATATATATATATATATATATCACAAATTAAACAGAGTACAACTATTATAAGATGAAAAATTTTCACTGGGATCTTTTTTGACCCCCAGTGAAAATATATATCTATATCCATAAATTTGTTTTGCTCATGCTAAGATATCATAAAATTCACTATTTTTTTTTATCCATAATATTGAAGGTGTTAAAATTATTCAATTTTTTAATGGAAAAAATCTCAAGACAAAAATTACTGCAAAACATTGTTGATTTAAGATGGAATGATCTATAACAGATCTCTAATTTGTATTTAGATACGTTGCATCTATTTTCTATTTTTCTAGTTGAATTATCCCCCTATACTGCATATAATTCATTATTGTACATAATTAAGTTACAATAAAATTTGTATTTTATATGAATACTACCTTATGCGAATTGAGAGGAATGAGATGTAGTAGAGTGGTGGTGGCGGGGCGTATAATAGATCCATGGGATCATTGCTTCAGCCCTGTGTGTGTGTGTGTGTGTATGTGTGTGTGTGTGTGTATGTGTATGCATATATATATATATATATATATATATATATATATATATATATAATAAAAAGGCTTAAACACTAATATTCCATGGTCATAATTTATTCCATTGGAATCGTAAATACGATCCAAATCATCAGACCTACAAATTCAAAAATAGTGTTTAAGCCTTTTTATTATATCCTTACTCTGTCCTAGACATTGAGTTCTACCTGGATTCTTCCTCTTGGAAAATTTTTTTCTGAAAATATACATGTATGGATATTTTTTTTTTTATATATATATTTTGCATATGTATGTATATTTTCCACTAATATTATCTATATATATATATATATGGCCACTTGTATTCGAGGATATTTGTCTACTAGGGCAGCTAGCCAACCCTATTGCAGATGCTCACTCAGGAACATTTGTGTTTGCTCAACACCCACGGAGCCCACCTATGAGCAGAATTT